GGCCCTGCCGATTGTCTGAGATGTTTGAAAGCGTTTATTCCCGACCCATTCTGGTCGTCTGGATTCTTCCTCAGCTTCGTTATATCTGGCACGTCGAGGGTCACCACTTGTTAGAGATTTAAAGGATATCTGGTCCGCTTTTCAAATCTCCGCGTGTCCCTATCAAGCTGGTTATAATACAGGAAGGAATCCAGAGCTACCAAGTAACCGTTAAACAATAATCTACTTTAATGGTAATATGACAATGCAATACAATCATTACAATACAACATAATATATTACAATTATATTGTAATGTTTAAGGAGTATGCCGGCCCACTCCTGCCCTGGTTCGCGTGCTGCGGAGATCCTTCCGGTCCTGGCAGCATGTGAAGAGAGACCGAACGTCAGGGATCTCCAGGAGATATACCAGAATAAGAAGGAGGGGTTAGGGGTTAGGTCAGCTGGTCATCTTTTCAGGTCATCTCATTGGGAGACGCAACGCTGGCCAGCAGAAAACCAAACAGGCTCACTTTCCAACAAAAGGTCTCAAGGCCTGCATACGTACACCTCCCCCACAGAGCAATAAAACCCTGTTTACTCCAACCAGCCCAGAATGTTTATAGCCATTTTTAGTCCTTACATTTATGAAAGGATAAAACAGAGAAATCAATATAAAACACAAACACAGGTATTGTTTGAACAGTATTCACTTAACTGCTACTATTGATAACCACCAGAGAAACCCAAGGGACCTCTCTTAATATCTATCTGGAATTTGCAACAAGACTTTCTGCCATTTCAAATGTAACACACTTCTTAAATATCAGATGATAATACTCTACAAGGCCTAGGTAATGTTCATAGGATTTCATAATTACACTTCACACACTTTTCTAGTAATTATTTCATAAGCAGCTTTATAGGTTGCTTGCTTATTAATATGTGTTTTTTTTATAGTGGTTTATAGTGGTTGCAGTGGTTTTATAGCTCATCCCCCAAGTCAAAAGGACAGATAACAAGGCATGTACACCGGCAGCATAAATAAGTTTACAGTGAACGTACCATTGTTATCAGAGTCCTCGGCATCCGCGGCGTAACTGCGGCTAGTATCCGCCTTAGCAGCCCCGGCATCGGCAGTGGAGCTCAGGCTCCCCTCATCAGGCGACTTATCCACCTCTTCCTCCGCATAGGACTCGACCACATCTACGGGGCTCACTATGGGTCTTGTGTTTAAGATACTGTCGAGATCCTCATACCAAATAAATGTCTCTTTGATACTTGGGGAGCTGCCGCTCTTCTGCAGCGCGTCGCGCACTTTTATGTATTGTTGTCGTAGTTTCTTCACCTTTATACGACACTGTTCAACACTCCGGTTAAATCCTAGTTGCTTCAGTCTGTCGCTAAAGATTTTGAACACCTCCGCGTTTTTAAGAACCTTCTCCAGCAGTTGAGAAATGTTCTCCTCTGCCCAGATATCCAGAAGGCATCTCTGTTCCTCATAGCTCCACGTTTGTCCCTGCCGCTCATTTTCCCACCATTTGCAATCCTCTCCTCCACAACAAGAAATGACGCGCAAATACTACGCTATGTTTTGGTGCGGATTGCGTTCACACCAGCAATGAACCGCTCCAGAGTTCGCAAGAAAGCTTTCCGAGACCACCTATTTTAGCGGACCAGAGTCCGGTTGTTTAGTTCACTTAAGAGGTCTCGGACTGCGTTCACACCGACCCAAATGAACCGCACCAAGCGGCCAAACGCACCAGGGTTCGATTCAACCGGACTATACAAGGCAGGTGTGAACGCACCCTTAAAGTTTTAGTTTAAAATAGAGATACTTTTTAAATATTGTTCTATAATGATTAAATGTCAGTGAATAACAAAATGTTTAATTATATAACTTTTACATCTCATTTAAAAAAGGTGGTTGCTAACTTGATCAGTGGCATACTGTGACAATAACTGGGACTTCAGCTCAGCCACACTTAGCAGACAGACCAAAAAAGTGTCAACACGGCAAAATATTTAGCTATGGATAAACGGCATACTGTGACAACAGCAGCTGGCTATGGAGTGCAACTGTTGCATGAAATGACGGCAACCACCACACAATTACATTACAATTATAAATATATTAATTTAGAGTTTGTCTTTAACTGTGTGAGACTACTACTGATACTCTCATGGAGCACTAGATAATTGTCTGTTTGGAAGCTGCTTTAATATATTAATGTGAGTCAAAAGTACATTTTACACATATATTCCTGCTTACATGATGTAGTGGGACATCCTGATATTTTTAAGTTGAAAGTGCAATATCCAAATTGCAAGAAGCTGCAATTATTATTTTTCAGCTAAATTTGAGAATACAAAATTATTTCCTTTTTCTTCAGTAAAATCTGGACTTTCACTCACTCTAGATCTAATCAATTACAGGTGGCAGCCATCTGTAATTTAAGTTACTTTGAAAAAAACAAATGGTGACAGCACTTAATTGTCTAAAGCTAACTGTGAGTGACGTGCACTGATACATTTTTGAGGAAATATAATCTATCTAACAATCTATGTAAGCACTGAAAGCATCTGAAGCAGAAATACAGAACTTATTTATCTATGTCATTGTATGCCAACCTGAACAATCTTTGAATTGCATTCTGCAAAACTGACAAGACGAAATGCAAAACATGGACATTTCCTCGCGATAGGACTCGGAATGGTGAAACCAATTTGTGTCCACACCTGTAATAAGAAAGTATAAAACAATAAGCCTAAGGTTTAATTTAGCAAGCTTATTGAAATTGAATTTGTAAAATACAATATTTCTTACTCAATATCCACAAAAAGTGTGCCTTTTTCCGGAAAGCGTCCTGGCTGACGGTATTTCTTACTTTCCAACAAACCAGAGAAAGCGTCAAATATGCCATGTCTCCAGCGTCAAGAACTACCTCCAAAAGAATGCTCTGCAGCAATTCTTGCGGTAGCTATGGACATATTTTTTCAAGAACCAGGTTAACAACAGAACTGAATTTCAAAACAAATATTTGTGTATATTTATATATTGATATGCTCCTTCTTCATAACCAACCAAGAGAAGTGGTTATCTTAAGAATCCAGCAACATGTCTTTCTTGTGTCCACCATATTTTTTGGGCGCTCAGCTCTTTTATTGAATCCAACCACTTAAAAACACAAAAACAACCAGAAGATGATGCAGGGCTGGCTAAACTTTACTCTAGTTATGGTTGGGCTGATGGACAATGACATCGTGCATCAGCCATGTATGACAGCCATCGCCGTTGGATACCTGACCATCATCACATCATGAGTTAATAAGGCGCCCTCCCCTCCCTGCCCCACAAGAACGGGTAGAGTTTCCGTTTCGGAACAGTTAACTGCGGTACTCACATTACTTTAAACAGCCATAAAGTGGGAGGATAAGCTCAGGTTGATGTATAATAGTTAAACAGCTGACTCCATTATTGTAACACGTATTACAGCAGAAATAAACAAAAAAGCATTGGTAAATGAAGCGCAGAGTTTAGTTTGAGCCGTGGTCCCGGAGCTGATCAAGCACCGCCGCAGAGGACATCGTCTATGTCCAGTTGGGTACACATCGCCCAATTGTAACTTGAACATTTGTTAAAATTAAAGACTTAATGCATACTAAAAGTATTTATTGAGCTGTAAAATACATTGTACGACTGTACTTCAACACCAGACTGCATTCGTTCCCTTAATGATCCCCTTGATGATAACACGCTAAGGCATGTAGCGACACTCCCTCACTAATTAAGTTTAATGTACTTTAAGTGCATGAGCAAATCCGTTTCAGTTTAGTGTTTTCAGTATGAACACAAACAGTCTGACAGCACCTGCTAATGCAGGTTAGCCCTGTTCACTAGCTGTTCCTTCTACATGATCAATGGTCAGTCTGTCACATATAATTCACTGTAGTCCTACCTCCTTACTTCCCAAGTCAGACACTGTGTAGGTGGCCAACGTACCTCTCTTTGCAGTCTTTCCTTTTGTCTTCTTCGCTTTTTTTCCTCTTTTTTTCTTGCCGTATTTGTTTTTCTTGTTCTTCTTCTTCTTACTCTTCCTCTTCTTCCCTCTGTCTGACGATGAGGAGGAGGAACTGGAGGAATTGGAGGAGGTGGAGGATGAAGAGGAGTTGCCTGCCCCTATTTGGTCACCTTCAGAAGTAACTGGTGCCTTAACTGATGCCATTTTTAGAAGGGCCAAAGCTGAAACAAACAAGAGGATTAGAAGATAACTATTGTTACCACTAAGGGTCAGAACATTTACAATAATCTTTAAACCTTATATTGTGTGTTCAGAGTTTCACGCAGATCGGTGAAATTCATATAGTGTTTTTCACTACATTTGAAATAGTGAAATATATCGTGACCTGAAATGTTAGGTAAGTGAAACAATTTGTTCTTTAGGATTTATGGAATATGTGAGATAATTTTCATGACTCTAGTTCAAACGGGGCATGTGATATGCCTGTTCCAAGTTTCCCCCGAACAAACGGACTCAACATATTTTAACAAGTGACTGTTCTTTCCCTCTCAATCCAACCCTCTACTGTCGGTTGATAAGTGAGAGAAGTGAGCTGGAGCCTGATCTGTCAAGTTCCACCCCACCATTTGGTGCTGTCCGTCCTATATGCTTGTCATGATATGTTGGCAGTGAAATGACTGAATTGCTGATGCAACTAGTCATCTCAAAAGCTATCAGATGCCAATAAGTAATTATTTAATCATTATTGATTTGCTTACCCTCAGCCAGCTGTATCCTCAGATAGTCCCTTTCGCTTTCAACAGTTAATAATTTGTCCTTTGAAGCATCTAGCCCTATTTTCAAGGCATTATTATCTCTGTTTCTGCGCTTCAGAGCTGCTATGGCTGTGGGAGCTGCAGAAACATCTGTAATGACAAAAACGGCAAAAAAAACAACATTATCTTTTCTGTAGTTATTACACAAATAGTATGTATAGGCTCCAAGCCTTTGTTTAGCGTTTTCAAAAAATGTACAATAAAATGTCAAAATTATAGATCTAGGACCGCCTGTATTGTCGTGAAGTTGCAGACATGTCATTGATCACATTTAATAGAGACTGTTGAATTCTATATTGGGACTTGCAACTGCATTTAAACACTGCAAAACCTATGATAATACATTACAAAACATTACTATATTCACTTCAAGGCAACTGTAAGATCATTGATTCTGACAGGGGCTTCACAAGTAATTGCAAAAAAGACTTCAACTTTTAATATGCACTCACTCACCACAGAAGTAAAATGGGCTCTAGTACATTTGCACAAGCGTTTACATTTTCGTTATGTAATATTTTCTTGTTCTAGTTATTGTGCGATATTATATATATATATATATATAAAGATAACACAATCAAAAAACAGTAACCGTAGATAAAATGTAAATGTAATGCAATGTCACAACACAACCTAACCTTTAGTTGATGCTTTAATAGTAGACTGCTGTCCTGTGAATGCATCCGAGTCAGACCCATCACTGCAGTGCACTACAGCTTTAAGAGGGGAGACAGAAAGTTCATAAATTAGAAATAGTGTTGACAAAATGGTACATATAGCGATAGGGAATATTTGAAATTGTGTAAAGGTCCAAAATGCCAAATTAGACCAAAAAAACATGGATGTCGTCCAAACCACTATCTGCCCCCCTGACCTCTACCACCAACAAAGGTATGGCAAAGCACAGTGGAAGAATCTCCTCAACACAGGAGATAACAAGGGGCTTCACTTTGTGCATGTGACATCTTTAATCCACTATACGTTTACATATTGTTTTTTTTACTGCTATCTGCTAAGCAACTACTTATTAGTACACCATCTGAGACTGAGTGGATCCTTAAAGTATGCTTAACATTTGAAAGCAAACACTTACCCATTTCCTTTGCCACAGTGTGGGAGCTGCATGGCTCTTCCTCAGACTGACCAGCCAATATTTATCCGCTGTAAGATTATGGAGCACAGAAAGAGTTGTTGATGTAGAGAGCATTACTATATGGAAGTATGTTTTTTTTTTTTTCAGCTATATTATAACTTCATTGGAACTATTTCAAAATTGGATATCTGAAAAGCAACTCTTGAATGAATGTATGAATGTACTGTTTTTAATTATATTTCATTACATATCGCCCAATGCTGTGTTAAAATCAAAATACTCTCGTTTCTAGCGCCCTAATGTCATTTACTTATTTAAGAGTTAAGATAAAACGTTAAACCTTCGTAATTGAGATATTTCAGTTTATTTGACGATTTAACTAATTTAACCCATAACAACCCAGACCCATTTCTACTTTTGGGGAAATTAAGGGGAACATAATTTAGACTAAATAGACCACATTTCTGACAATGTGACATTGAACTTTAATGGTAAAGTAACTCTTATTTATAACTTAATTAATGAGGAGGATTTTTTGATTTAAATTTGTTTTAACATTCTTTGAATTGAAGAATAAAGAATATATTAACTAAATATAATTGGATCACCTAAATTAACTGAGCAGATCATACTCATATTTCTAATTGTGACATAGGTGTTACTCCAGATTTACTGTGAAAGTTTAAGGTTAATGTCCCGATGTGACATCAGTGTCACAGCGATATTTATCTAATTTGTTTCATATCAATTTGATCAAGAAATGTTAACAGGTTCAATGTAACAAAGTACATGTTATGTAAGCATTTTAATTCTTAAATGGCTTGATTTGTACCTTTAGCAACCAAAAACAAGCCTCTGAAATGTACCTAGTTCTGTCACATGTCTTAGCCCGGCACATGACCCACCAGACTTTTCAGGGTGTGTCACTTAAGGACGCACCTCCGCCAAAAAAAGAGCACCGGGTCATTTGAAACAAAGCGCATTTGCGTACACACACACAGAGAGAGAGGAAGAGAGAGAGAGAGAGAGGAGAGAGAGAGAGAGAGAGAGAGAGAGAGAGAGAGAGAGAGAGAGAGAGAGAGAGAATGAGAGAGAGAGAAGAGCTAGCGAGCGGAGAGAGAGAGAAGAGCTAGCGAGAGAGAGAGAGAGAGAAAAGTAGATAGATATTTGCGAGTTGCATATGAACCATGATATGAACTCAGGGTCGGCCCGTAGCACTGGCTAGATGTTCGCCTAGGGCGCCAGATCTGTGGAGGCGCTGCGCTGGCAGTTCTGGGAGGGAAAAAACATTTTGACCGTTGGTGGCTCATCCTAATTTTCGGCCTTGATGTAACAAACACCCTTTTCACACGTTTCATTTACCCTGTACAATGGGCGCTGTAAGTGATGAAAATGGGGGATGTTGGCTTATTCTGGCGCCCGCAGCTCACAGCCAAAATGCGAGGGAGAGAGGGAGGGTGCACCGGTACCAGCGCTGTTGTTATTAGAATCTGGTGCCGTGCTAGCTGCTCTAACGAATATAAGAAGAAGATGTTTCTACAATAATGTGGAGGGAGAGTCCTCTCCAGTCAGACTGAGAGGCAGATACTACAGCTCAGTGAGGTGAAGGACTCTTAGTCTAAGTTCAAACGGTTTGGTCACAATTTATGTAAACACATATTTCCAAGGCACTCCTTTATAATTATTGGGATAAACAGGTTTCAAATCATTCCAATGTATAAGACAGTAACCAAAAATATCCTTTAAAACTGGAGAGATAAAAAAAAATGCATAAATAAATAAATGTTAAGGTAAAATAAGATATGAATGAACAACACAAATAAAATAAGTTACATTCATTTATTATTGGCTATGGTAGGTTATTGGTTATGTTCACATACTTATTTGATTACATCCACTTGTCTAAGATGACAACAGAGACTTTCAACCCAAAACCAGCTGTTGACTTGTGGATGCAAGCAGCTAATAACAGACTCAACCAGAGAGAAAGAAGTAGGCCTACATCATCAGCTACCATGTCTGACAGAGAGGAAGACAGTGAGGAGAACAGTCAGGAGGGTAGTGATGACAGCTTGTAGGATTACTGGTCGTGCTAATGTTGTCTTGTGTTCACCTCTGCATGTGTGTTCTGTGTTCACCTCTGCATGTGTGTTCAGTGCCGTGTGTCTGGTAAATAAAGTCAAGACCCCCTCAAAAGTTACGGTTTATTTCATTTTAAGGATGAGCACCAAGCAACATCTCCAGGTGCTCCTTTGAGAACCAGGGCAAAAAAGTTATGTGCACCCCTGTGTATAAGGAACTTTACAAAACATTTAAATGTCATGTAAGCGCTTTGAGCTCCAGCAAGGGGCTTTATAAATGTAATGTATTATTATTATTATTATTATTATGTAACACGTGGGTCCTCGTGGTTTAGCTAGCAACCTCAAATCAGATAGCACAGAACAAAAAGTGTAATAACATATGTCAATTGAGATGATTTCGCGATGCAGTGTTACTGATTTCTGAAATGACAAAAATAAATGTCAATTCATACTTACATTCTGACACTAAACGCTTAGGGGGCCCTCTTTCGCTTGCTTCTCCTCGAGTCCATTTTCAGTTCTAAGCGTGTAGACTAGAGCATAGACTGTAGTGTACATATAAGATGGAGAGGTTGAGTTGTATCACTAGCCGAGATGCACGTGACAGGCTCATGGCCAATCGTAGCACTTGAATGCTATGAAGGGGCGTGTCTTGCATAGTGCTCCAGCCGGATCCCGATTTGCAGCGTATTAACACTTTATTACGGTTTTAATATTTTAATTGTATATCAGTGAATATAAAGAAGCTGTGCTTTGTCAATTGAACAAGGAAGATGAAATACCTGATTCAAAACATCAAAACTATTGGTTTGAATCGTGTGAACAAGAAATGAGGATCAGGGTGCTAGGGCGCTAGTGCGCTCAGCGGAGTTCCACTTCCGGTCTGGCCCAGCGGCAGCACATCTTGAACTACGCTGGGTGTTAGGTTTTGTGGACGGGCCGGGGCCGCAGTAACGCCGCAGTCAGGTTATAGGTTATCATGATGACACTGCACACCAAAGTACTCAGTACTATTGAAAGAAGACAGACTTTTAAAAAAAAAGAAAAAATTAATTGAATGGCTAATGAAAAAGGAATTCCTTCAAGGAAAAATGAAATGCAAACTCTGCAAAAAGAGGATGAAACTGGAGAAACACTCAAACGTCGACGGACTGCAGTGGTAGGCTAAGTCGTACATTTTTAGCACGGGTTTTAATGATGACTTCCTCTGTTTACTGATATGTAATGTTACAAAGACAAGTTCTTTATCAGGAAAAAAGGACTAGGAATTTACGATTTGTCTTTTGTAGGAAGTGCCGACGTAAAAAAACACCGAGGGAAAACGACGAAGAAATCAGTGAGGTCTTTGTCCCTGTTTCAGAGGAGCAAATTGTCCTTGTTCAGCTGGATGAAATACATTTACAGGTAATATTAATTCATCAATAATATCAGTCATTTCCTCAAAGCACAGCAAATGAAAGCCTGTAAGTATTACGTTTATTTTAAGCATGTTGACTGTTGTTTAACATTACCGATATCTAAATGCTAATTTCAGTTAGTGCGTCAATGACGTTATCCATTATATGTTAGCATTGAGCTAGCGGACCAAGCGCTAGTTATTTGGCAATTCACAATGCAGGCTGCTTGGAGGTGTGGCGGGGCACAATGGCGCCGCTTTCACACCAAGCCCCCAGGAAGTGCGCCGGACTCTGAGGAGAACATTCGAGAGTTATTTCCCTCGGCATTATGAACGCGCATCCAACCCACGGGACCGCGCCGCCCGGCACCTTCATGTTACGTGTTCTGTACTACATGCGTTTTACCCTTAACCATAGACTGTATATATAAAGGTTTTACCTTTACCCATGGATGCACAATAAGAACGGACCCGTATCGCCTTGCCGTTCGGGTGTTCAGAGCAGAGCTCCCTGTTGGAGCGGCAGAGCGTGATGTGAACAGAAAAATGTTTCTGTCGCAATATTATTTAAAGAATCGTTGAGCTAGCTAACTAGCATACATTGTCACTATCTGCTAACATTAGCTTTAGCTTTCGTTTTCTAATAGTTTTTCTCATAGGCTATAAACAGAATAGATCTTGTACTTGAGTAAAAGTAGAAATACTCAGATATTGTACTTGAGTAAAACAGAAGTACTCAGATATTGCACTTGACTATAAGTACTCAGATCTTGTATTAGAGTAAAAGTAGAAGTACCAGAGTGTACGAATACTCTGTTACAGTAAAATTCCTGCATTCAAAATGTTCCTCAACCAAAAATGGGTTCAGAACGTTACAATGTGTAATTATTCTAATAGCTTAAAAATACATGTGTAGATGCTCTGATACAGGGAAACTTGATAGATCAAATTAATTAGCAACATTGAAATATTCTGTTTCATCTTGAGTAATAACAAATGTCTAATGTGAATTATAATTATACATTAGCCACTGGTGCTGAATGCGTTCTTCTTCATATGCTTTTGTTCATATTTAGTAATTCTATATTGATCTTTAACAGATTTTCCCAGGGACTGCAGCTAAGGCAAATTGACTTGCTGCAGGATGGCGTGGCAGGAAGCAGTCGCACGCTGTCAAAAATGTGCCTGAAGTTGAGGAAGGTCTGCAAGAGTGCAATCAAGAGGAGAGAAAGGAGGAGAAAGCAGAGACTTGGAGGACCAAACAAATGTGTCATGCTGGACGAAAGCAACTTCTACCACAAAAGGAAGGTGTGTATAAACTACAGAGCCTTAGCCTTTGGCCTCACTAAAACTAAAACCTTTGTTTTTCAAGGTGAAATAACAACATATATTTTAAGGTCAGAGATTAACAATGAATGAGCAAAGTAATGTAATTTTATAATTGTGTCATTCACACCCTTGTGACTGGCGAGACAAAGTATACATTAGAGAGAGCCAGCTCCACAGTGTATACACAGTCAATAACAGAAAAAAAAGAATTTAGAAGCTAAGAATTATCTCATCCAATCAGATCATTAAAGATGGGGTAGGTAAGTTTCAGAAACCGGCATCGAGATACACTTTTTGTTATATTCCATGGAATGCTCTTAACATCCCGATAGCAATGAATATCTTAAGTGCTTTGACAATAAATTTAAAAAAAATGTCTCTGTAGAAAGCCGTAATACTGTAAAAAGTACAACCAATCCGTTTAGCCCTGGATGGCCTACCTGCCTGTCAGCCTTCCATCGGGGCACAAACTTATCTCGTGCCCTCATTGGTCATGTGCGCGTTCGTGTGTGTTGGAGGAGGGGCTCTGTAAGGAAGTGGCAGATTTTCTCCGGTTGTGTATTTTCAAATTCTAGCGATCTCGAGCCGGTTTCTCAAACTTACCTACCCCACCTTTAAGGAAATAATCCTTATTCTTACTTTTTATTACTAACATTTTAAAAGTGCATTAATCTTATTTATATATCATCTAATTACAATCTCTATCTTACATTTTCATGTTTCTTGCAGCAAAATAAGCAAACTTTAACTTAATAAAATTAAACAGCCTTTTCTGTTGTACCACTACATTTAAAAAAATTCTCTTCTTTTTTGAGAAAGGGAGTGAATATTTTTAAATTGTAAAATAAAGCAAATAAACACATTTCACTTTGTTTATCAATTGAAATTCCTGATGTTTATTTTTATATAACTGTGTTGTCCTTTTTCACTGCTTTATTACAGTATGGTAGGGAAAGATTCGGTCCTACGTGGAGGAGGAGAAAATGGGTCTTTGGAATGCTGGGCATCAGAGGAAAAGGAGAAGACCTATCCTGAGGCTGGTGATGAAACAAAGATCACGGCGCCACTTAATTCCTCTGGTCACAAAATACGTTCGCCAAGGGACCACGGTGATAACGGACATGTGGAGGGCATACACCACTGCAATCGCAGAAAGTGGCTTTGTCCATTTCTCTGTGAACCACAGCCGGTCATTTGTGAACCCAGACACAGGAGCCCACACCCAAAACATTGAGCGGGCTTGGTCAACGTACAAGTCACAGGTCTGGAGACTGCGAGGAAACCGCACAGTGAAGACTCTGAAGAGTCATCTTGCTTTCATCGAGTGGACACATTGGCTGGCAAATGAACACAAAGATGGTCCCTTAGGCAGATTGCTGCATGACATACGCCACTTTTGCAAGTTCTGATGCAACCTTGTTTTCATTATTAGTGTCCTTTGGATTGTTGTTTAAATAAAAAAAATGTAATTGAGTGCACAGGGTTTGTTTATTTGTTTACTGCTTAACGAATGGTAAAGTAATCATTAGGTAATGGGTAACTACTGTTTTTGATGCATACTTTACTTGAGGGGACACACACTGCTCAACGAATGGTTTAAGTAGGCATAGGGTAATGGGTACTACTGTTTTTTGATGCATTACTTACTTGAGGGGACACACAATGCTTAACGAATGGTTAAGTAGGCATTAGGTAATGGGTAACTACTGTCTTTGATGCATTACTTTACTTGAGGGGACACACAATGCTTAACGAATGGTTAAGTAGGCATTAGGTAATGGGTAACTACTGTTTTTGATGCATTACTTTACTTGAGGGGACACACAATGCTTAACGAATGGTTAAGTAGGCATTAGGTAATGGGTAACTACTGTTTTTGATGCATTACTTTACTTGAGGACACACACAATGCTTAACGAATGGTTAAGTAGGCATTAGGTAATGGGTAACTACTGTTTTTGATGCATTACTTTACTTGAGGGGACACACAATGCTTAACGAATGGTTAAGTAGGCATTAGGTAATGGGTAACTACTGTTTTTGATGCATTACTTTACTTGAGGGGACACACAATGCTTAACGAATGGTTAAGTAAGCATTACTTAATGGGTAACTACTGTTTTAGTAACGGTAAGGTAATCATTAGGTAATGGGTAACTACTGTTTTTCATGCATTACTTTACTTGAGGGGACACACACTGCTTAACGAATGGTAAAGTAAGCATTACTTAATGGGTAACTACTGTTTTAGTAACGGTAAGGTAATCATTAGGTAATGGGTAACTACTGTTTTTGTTTGCGTTCCTTGAGTTTACCGTACCCAAACGGCCTAAGTAATGGTAAGGTAAATTGGATCCACCTCCACCAGTTGATCCAGGGTGGGACCCAAGCCAGCCGAAGATGGCAGGTTTAAATGTGCCCTGCTGCAGCGGACCATTGCTTCAATCAAAGTCTCCCAGGAACTCCTCATAAAGTAACCATTAACGAATGATTCATTAATACAGTACCCCAGTCTGTTTACCAGTAACTAAGCATTAGTTCACTCAGGAACTCCTCATTAAGTAACCATTAACGAATGATTCGTTAATACAGTACCCCCCAGTCTGTTTACCAGTAACTAACCATAAGTTCACTGAGGAACTACTCATTAACTAACCATTAACGAATGATTCGTTAATACAGTACCCCCCAGTCTGTTTACCAGTAACTAACCATCAGTTCCTCAATCGCAGTCACTGAGGAACTACTCATTAACTAACCATTAACTATCTAGTAGTTCCTCAGTAACTAAGCAGTAACTAAGCACATTTTGTGTACCTTATTGTAAAGTGTTACCATTAAAAACTACCCGACGCAGTCCTCTATTGATGTTGTTGTGAGCAGAGTTGGGTGTAACGCGTTACTGTAATAATATTACTTGTGTTGGTAACGGAGTAGTGTAACGCGTTACTTTTATAATTTAGTAATCACACTACAGTTACTAACATTGCCCCGACACGCGTTACTTCGTTACTTTTATAAAATAATCACACTCACTGACAGACAAGAGGGGTTTCCGCCGCAGGTTTATTTACATGTAGGCCTATGTAATCTGCGCGACTTGCGAGACCACATCTCCACGTGCAGTGCTGCATAAACATGGCTGAGTCTTTTCATCTGTAAACTCCCTCAACGGGGCAGCTCGCTCTCTTTTGTTGATCGCCCTCTCACGGGTGAACAGTCAATGTCCCGCTTCATTGTAGGAATTCTGCCATGTCTCTACCACTTTAGTTTGACCATCTCTGTTACTAAGTTATGGAATACTAAATAAATAAGTAATTAGATACCTTACCGTTATGCGCTCATAAAGAATGATAAGAATAATGCGTCTTGAACTGGTTTCATTAATTAGTGTCTTGACGTTTCACAGACTGTTAGCTTGTTGTGTGGCTGGTAGCCTATTTGAGAGCATATAAAAAGAAAGACTTGTGTTATGTCTTCCTTAATGCAATAGTAATTGGGGGTGCAAGTGGAGTCTCGCAGAGGCAAAACTGTGGCGCGCACACTGTAGGTGCACCGCAGTCTGCGTGATCTGCCTGTAGGGAGGGGCGGGTCGGCCCTGCGAGTAAAGTAACGAGTTACTTTATGTAGAGAGTAACAAAGTAGTGTAATATATTACTTTTTTTTAAAGTAATATGTAATATGTAATATATAACTTTTTTTTAGTAACGACCCCATCTCTGGTTGTGAGCGTCGTTGCGGAGAAAATCAGCAACGTAAAATGCCGTGTGGGTCATAAGAAGGCACGTAAACGGTTACGTCATGACGCAAACGATGACGCAATAACGCAATAATTCACCTTTGAACCTGCATCTGTAACAATGAGTGGAACAAAGAAAAGAAAAGTCAACATTGAGTGCCGAGTGTATAATGAGGAGTGGACTGCTAAATATTTTGTTACCGATCTGCTGGCCCGGCCCGTCTGTCAAATTTAAAACTCATAGTGGCCCCCGAGCCAAAAAGTTTGCCCACCCCTGCTTTAGAGAATTTGACACCCGGAAGTCAGTATTCTCTCCGCTTCGCTTGATAAACCCTGTGATAGTCCTCAAGCTCTGTGATTGGAGAGTGTGCACCGAGGGTTACGCCGAGCGTCGAACAACACTTTGAAATGGGATGGAACCACGGCAGACTGTCCAAAATTGGATTTGAACGGGTCCACCCTGTCCCCCCCTCCCCCACGCCGTCCCCAGAACTACACATGCTGGCTATTGTGTGTTTTGCAACATGTTCTCTATCTATGGCACGTCTCTGCTGGGAATTGTAGTTTTAAAAGACGTTTTCGTATTTCCCATAATAAGAAGTTGCCAGTATTAAACTGTGTACATCCCTGGAGGTTTAGGGGATAGGAAACACTCACATTTAAAACATATAATTAATAAATGGGTGAAAATTGCTTGTGCCCATAATGGGCAGCATTAATATATACCCACATGCCAGCTAAGGTCAGAAGAGCTTTATTTAACAGCTGGTCTTATGTCTGTGACCCCTCCTGTTGTTAATTGATGAGCCTGAAACATGCACTTGTCAAGGTTCAGAGGCACATATGGCAGTATCCATCGATCATCTTAAAATAAGATATACTTTATTGATCCCAAGCTGGAAACATTTGCGTTACATCAGCATGTGTAACAGTTGTAAATATGCAGTGGTGTTTATTTGTAAATCATTTAGTATATTCACACAAATTCTGTGTTTTATATTGAATAATTCTGTGTTCTTTATTTATTGAATGTTCAACACCTGACAAGGTCGGAGATGAAAAACTTGTGTCGCAGGTTCCTCAACAGTGCATTACAAGACATCTATCAATATGTGTGTATACCTCCACCATTAAACTGTTGTATTCTGCACATTTCTTATAATATCTACATACATCTTATAAGAGTATAATACGTATAATATCAGTTAAAATAAGTGCTTAAACATACAGTAGTTAACATTGCAGGAAAGCAATATATTAGTACTTTGTCAGGCTTAATATTTATACCCCCAAAGCTTTTTTCTTATTCAAATTAAGACCTTAACCTAAAGTATTCTTTAATGTTTAAATAAAGCCTTATTAGTTTGTCTGTCTGTGTCTCCTATTAATATCTAATAATACAAATAATACATTTCAATAACGTGCTTTAACCACCAGGTGTCCCTTTCTATCAGCTGTGCGCCGTTATGGTGTAAATATACCAATATACCGATTGGATCAAATATAAAAGTCAGCTGAATTAGTATTGATACTGCAAGGAGACTTATATTGTGTGAAGAGAAATTGAAGATTTTGTTTAATTGTTGATATATTTATGATCCACGTCACATATTCTGTTTTGGTGGCAGTTGTTCCTATTTGTCTAGAAGTCTTCTCAGCAGGGCTCTATAAATAGCGAACTACGGCAGATATGTAATATTTAATGCAGCCGAACCGTGTATTACAATGCCGTTATGTGATGACCTCCAAAGAGAAAAGCAAGCAAACTCGGAATAAAGTATTATTTTATTTTTAAAAAATGTTTGCGGATTTCACATCAACAGGAAGTCCGGTTAACTAAAATGTCCGTGCGGAACAATACCCCAACCCATAGATCCGTGGGTGAATAATGTCAATCACCACATTACACACATCCCTTCACATTTAAATTGAAATGTACATTGAAGTATTTCGTGAGGCCTTCTAAAATGTTTTAAAATATAATTAGGGTTGTAGTTGAAGAGTTTGTAACGGACAACGGCACGTCCATTAATTCCACAACCACACACATGGATTAACATCGATTTAATACATTAATGTAGCCTTTGTTTCTGCTAAAAGAGGTGTCGACCAGCTGGGGCAACAAGAACATCGGCGAAATCGAGTGTGACTATTAAAAAATAAATAATTATTATATTAATATTGACAATAACAACCGACCGTCGGGGAGCGTTCTCATGGCGTCTATTATCAACGCTATGGGAGTTCTATGAAGGTCTATGGGACGCCCTGCCCGTTGAAAACTGACTCTCAAGGGGCACCCTGTCCGTAATGGAGTGACGGGGAGGGGCCCTGACCGTCCGTCAACATGTGACGGGTTGAGAGTGAGAACGTGTTGAAACACATGCACATTCCCTACTGAGAACCTTTCAGTAAAATGTTTTCAGTACTGTGTGTGCGAGCTGCGAGGTGTTCAGTAGTGAATGTGAGAGGATTTCAATAGTGTGTGTGTGAGGTACATTTTCAGTTGTGTGTGTGTGTGAGGTTAATTTCCAGTTGCGTGTGTGTGAGGTACATTTTTAGTAGTATGTGTGCAAGGTTTAATTTTCAGTTGTGTGTGTGTGAGGTGTTCAGTTGTGAATGTGAGAGTATTTCAGTAGTGTTTGTGCAAGGCCAGATGTTTTCAGTAGTGTGTGTGCGAGGTGAGTTTGAATGTTGGCCCACACGGCCCTTCATA